AGCCTGCCCGAGCTCCGATGGACCAAAAGAAGAGAGAAGATAAAATAGGTGAAAAAAGTGGCTGGTTTTCCAAGCATGTGGTGTGTAGCTTTTCACATCTGTTAAATTCTTAATTTGCACCTCTTGTTATTCTCATGACTGTAACCAATGGCGCTTCTTTTGGTTATGGCATCTGACTTTATTTTATGCCTTTGCTTCTCCTTTGGCTTCACACGAGGGCATCTTAATTTTAAAAGTGCAGCCAGAACCAGTCCTAGACTTCCAGACTAGCTGCCTGGCACCTACTTGGGCTCAACAGATGTTTGTTGAGTGAATAAACGAATGAATTAAGTTATTTTCACGACAAAGTTCAGAGAAATCTTTCAGCAAGGTTTTTGTTTTTTAAACTGGGGGTCATCACTTAAAGTATCCTCTATGGATCTGAAAGGAAAATCGGCAAAGTTGATTTTAGAGTTTTTTGAAGAAACTCTCAACCAAACGCTATTCGGAACAGAATGTTCATTTTTCTCTTGATTCCAATACCATGTTTGAACAACCTGGGCAATTTAACTCAATGATTGGAAAGCAAGGGGACCCGGATCCTCCGCAAGTCCCTCAGGCCTTGGATCTCATGGATCCGATTCTGAGCCGGACAGGCTAAGGGCGCAGGGCTCCTCCGGTCAAGGAGACCAGGATCCGGGTGATACGCCCGTCGCTTGCACGGCACCTAGGTCCGCGTTTTTGCGCCTGGCCCAGGTGCCGACTTCGGGGCTGGAGAGACACAAGGGCCGGCCGGTCCCCAGGGCGGGCGCGAGGGCCCCGCGCAGGTGCTGGGCCTGTGCGCGGGGTGCGCCGGGGGTGCTGCGGCCTGGGAGACCCGAGAGAGACGTTATTGTTACACTGTAACGAGTCTGATTAACATGCTCCTGACACTTACTCTTAGTTTCTTGGGCTCCTAGCAACAGCGCACAAAGGCGCAGGATTGTCCCGGGCTCCGCGGGGACACGGGGCAGCCTTTGATCTGCCACCATTACAGTGGGGCTGCGCGACAGGCTCGCAGGCTCCGGGCGGCCGCGGCGGGCGGCCGAGCGGGGCCACAGTCCCGGCCCACCGGGCTCCTGCCTCGGCCCCACCCGCCGCCCCGAAGGCCGCTGCGCTGGGAGCGGCCACTGAGACCACCGCGGGCGCGGCCGGTGCCAGCCCGGCCCGCTGTTGTCCGCGCCGGTGCGCTGCGACCTCGGCCTCGGGGAGCGCGTGCGCTGGGGGACTCGGGCTCCGCGTGTCCCGACCCTGCGGGCGCACGTCCTTCCGACCAGGCTCACCCGGCCCTTCCCGTCGGAAGCAGCAAACGGGACCGAGCTTACAATGGAAATGTTTTTTCCACTTACAATGGAAAAAACAAACAAACAAACTAAAATTAAAAAAGGAAGGGCGCAGGCGACAGACAAACCCCAAAAGATTCTGTTTATTTTTTATTTTTATTTTTATTTTTTAAACCCTTCAGGCTTCATTCAGCTCGCTAAGCTGAAATTGGGTTCGATCGGCAGCAAACAACGACCACAAAAGGCGCTAACAATGATTTCGGCTCCTTCCTACACATCCCTTTCTTCAGGTCCTTGGCAATTCTTATTGATTCGTATGGAAATATGCTGCCAAATAATTGCTGGGATATAAACAAACTTCCAACCACAACAAAATCACCCGTCACAGAACAGTAAAAAGCTGCCCGGTCCCACTTTGCAAGTTTTCAGGTACTGAGTTAGATATTTGAAAGGAATTCATTTTCCATTTTGTTCGCTCTCAAGTCCTCCACGCCCACCCTGACTGAAAAATAAAGCGCGGAAAGAAAGAAAGACTAAGGTTTTAACATTTAAATGTTGAGATCAACTAATGACCCCCCCCCCAAGGTGCATGTGAAAACCTCTTGGGGGCGGGGTGTCTGGGCTGAGAGGACAGTGACCCCGAGCCTGTGGCTGCAGCACTGAGGTTACAGACCGGCTCGGTGACTCTCGCCAGCATTAATAGGCGCAAGATCCCGCTGGTAACCTCATAATCCGTATTGTACCACCGATTGCCTTCCAAGTACTAGAGGTAAAAATAAAAATAAAATAACAATAAACACAGAAGACATTTAGCTTTCCAAGATAAACGGAAATCATAAAAGCAGAATGTACTTCAAATAAAAAAAGCGTGTATTCTTTTTTCACCTCTAAAGACATCATTGGAAATTCAGTGTCCCCAATGTAAGTCAGTTTCCCGAACTCCCGGAAAACTATTTTGGGACAAAGGTGTTAATGATAATAATAGCACGTATATTCTAGAAAAGGGGAAATACAAAAGGGGGGCTGGAAGAGAAAAAAAAAGGTCTGTTCCATTTACCCAGCAAAATGTGCCAGGCAACGATTTACTTTCAAATTCAAATCCCAGGCCGTGAAGTCTTCGTTTTTGAGGACACTTTCCCCATCCCGTTCCTGGAAGAGAGGACGCAGGAGAGCCTGCGGTTCCACACTTGGAAATCTTAAGGGACCAGCTCCCAGATGCCCGGGAACTTCCCAGCCTGTGCTCCCGGGACGGTGCCTGACTCCACCGGAGTTTCCCAGCACCATTTCAATAAAAGATGGCTGTATTGATATAATCCTCTATACATTAAAATGAGGTTGTCACAGATTGTCATTAAGACCTCAGTAAAAACAATGAAGACATTATTGGGCACCCCCCACCCCCCTCAGGCAAGGTATTAGGGGAATAAAACAATCTACACCACACGGGTCCTATTGAGATTAATGAAAAAATTATGCAAAAAAAAAGGTCTCAATTTCATTTTCCCGTGACAGGGCTTTGCATACATACAGTCAGTCTTGCTTTGCACCTGATGATTTATTAAACTAATCTGCAGTGATCACCACTGATGTTCTCAACTCAATCTTGTCCTGGCTCATTTTCTAAGTAATTGTTTCTCATTAGTTCTGATAATGTTTTAATAGTGTTGCCCATAATTTAGCCCCCAAGAATTAATAACAGGAGGGTGATATGGTGCTTGCGATGTGGCTTGCGATGAGCTACACAAAATATAAACAGGTATGGGTTTTAATTAATCAGATTACTGCAAAGTCCTCTTCTTGCGGTCCATTCCTAGCTTGGAGGAGTCCCCCAGGTTGGGCATTGCCATCATGTCAAGTGGGATTAGCTCACCCAGCCTGTTCTCCAGCCCTCCCATCTTCGCTGTGATACCAGCCCCCATCCATGGCTCCAAGAGATGCAGGTGGGAAAACAGTGGTGATACCTCTGGTCTCCCAGGATCTCCTATCCTGGAGTTTTGTTCTTTAAGCAATGAGGCACAGCTGGTCTCTGACCCTGACTAAACACTCTTCTGGGGCTCTGATTAGGGTCTCCACTCAGTGGGAACTTGGTCTAGATTTTTGGCTCTAGTGGGTCCCAGTCTCATGATCCTACCACAGTCAGGACCATGGGGTTAGGAGGAAGATGATAAATCTGACACTTTGAGAGACTTAAACAATAAGGTGGTTTTGTTTGAACAAAGTACAGTTTGAGACAAAGGGCGTGGTGACTAGTCCAACATGGTCGGGGACCTAGGAACCCCACAGGCCTGTTGGTGATGGCAGTAGGGAGACCTAGCCACATCCAGGCTCTTAGCACCACCCAGAGACCTTGCTGAGGGGCTGGCTTTTCCCAAGGTCCAAATGCCTTCATCCCGGCACCTGAGGTTCCCTCAGAGGGAGGGTTTGGCTCTCAGTGAGCTCAGTGGCTTGACAAGGTCCACCTGTAGAGTTTGGGGGTTGCCTGTGTAACCGGGGTGGAGGCTGGAACATCTGTCCTTTCATCCTGCCAAAGCCTGGGGGAGGGGTTACCTGGACCAATACAGAGGATGGGAAGGACATTTGGGTTGAAGTGGGGCTGCCTATGGGGAAGTAGGGAAGAAAGTTTTTATTTTCTTCTTTTGCTTAAGGCAGGTCCTGCCTACACTTCTAGCACCTTGAGGGGGTGTGTGTGTGTGTGTGTGTGTGTGTGTGTGTGTGTGAGGTCAGAATGAGAGGAGGCCTTTGCCTTCTGAGCAGTCCTCCTGTGTTTCTGGGTTCTGAACAGAGGGCTCTGACTGTGAGGATACCTATGGTCCTGATTGCCCTTGTGAACACCTGACTACTAGCGTAGGTGGGCACAACTGTGACAATGGCATGGGGTGGGGCTGCTTCTCCTGTAACTGCCACCCACTGCCCCTGTCCGCAGTCCTGAAGCCCAGTTTGGATGGAGGCCAGTCATCTCGAACGTTGGCTGAGATGCCATCTTTCTCCTTCTAGCTCCTCCACATGAGGATGGGGCTGGCCAGCTCCCACCTTCCTTTTCAGCTAACTCAGAGGCAGCACAGGGTGACTAAGGTAAAGGGTGACAGTGCTCTTCACTGGTTAGAGGGGGTGCACCAAGTGGGGGGAGATATGCTGCCCACGGCAGTTCAGGACCCCAGCCTGGCACATCCCTTCTCAGTTGAAGAGCTGTCTCCTCAGATCCCAAGTTTGGGGATGTTAGTAGGTATCTCATGAATGTGCCCCCCCAGAACCATCCTGCCTGGGTCAGGTTCACAGAGTGTGCCTGTGAGAGCTGGATTGTGCCCTTCCCACCATGCAGTGGGTGTGGGTGGGGCATGATGGCGTGTGGGACTCACCCACTTTCCTTTGATTCCGTGGTGTCTTTCCTTGTATATAACCCAATTCTATTCCCCTCTTGGGCTTCCTGTAGGAATGGAAGAGGTAGGGGGAAAGTAGACCCCTTGTTGGGGTACATAGTAGGGGCCACATAGAAAATAAACAAAAAGGGCATAGGAGGAGGTGAAAAATGAAGATAAAAAAACAACTGTTTTCTATTTACAAATTTAAATAAACAGAACAGCCTTCCCTGCGGTGTTTGTCTAAGAGTAGCAGCCTTGCTGCTGTGTAGGTCATGAAAAGGTTGGTGTAGAGTTTAAAACTTCCCATTCTGTTAATTTCTTAAAGAACAGTCGTCCAGAGTCTCAACACAAAAGCTCATGATTTAATGAGGAGCAGAAACAAAATCTCTGATTGTTGGTGTTTCAAATTTCATTGGCGTCCTCTGGCAAACACAAGTTGATCCTTCGCTGCTTCAATACCCTTTAGCCTTCAATATAAGAGCACATGCTGAATAGGGAAGAATGGCTGGTTGTTATGTTTATTTACCCTTCCTACAAGCTGGGTTAACCTCTTCAAAACAGCTCTACTAAGCCCGTTAACCACACCACCCATATGACCTGTAGCAGCATCCCTAATGTGATGCAAATCTCGGAGGGGACCATATGCACCAGCTCTGCCGCTTTGTGTCTTCTTAGAGGCTACAAGTTTATTGCTGAGGGGGCCCTGTCCGGGCCATACATTTACAGGGGAAGTGGCCTCAGTGGCAAACAGTTAAACGGGGAAATAAAAGGGGAGAATGGACGGTCTTGTGTTGCTGCACATTTATGTTTTAATGCTGGTAACTGTTTACCCAAAGCATTCACCCAGGAGGAGGGCTTTCATAGTCATCATCTAGCAGCGCAAGGATTATGGATGTTTTGTTTTTTTGGGGGATGGAGGTTAACAGTAATCAGTTTTGAAGAATTATTTTTAGAGATATCTGTATAAACCAATATGATACCTAATCAACTTTTCAATGCCATCTCTGGTGTTTTATCAGTTTTCTAGTGAAATACACACAACCCCTTCATTTCATTATTTTTTAAAAGCCTGGCCTTTCTTAAAATTATGGGGTTGAGTGAACAAATGAACAATGTAGAAAAATATCTAATGTGGAAACATCTAATGTAAGAAGGGTGAAGGGAGTACTGTATTTGCGAAAGGCCTGTTTCATTCAAGATCTAACTTTCCTGCACAGCCAATCTTTTCCACTATTGTATCTCCCTGTGAAATCCTAAGTCCATACCTATAAACACATCAATGAACAATAAAATAATAAGCTTGGAACCAAAAGGAAGAAACTTCATTTTTAGAGGACTAACGGGCCAGTGATAACAACAACAACAATAATTGTCATTCACATGAACTGTAAATGGAGAAAGGTTCCAATCTGGCATACTAACAAGTTGCCTTGAGTATTATGGTTTGTCTTTAAGAAAGCCACTGTATACGCTCAGCCCACCTGATGAGAGCTTCATTTAACAGATTATTTTTCCTTGATGGATGTGGCAAGCGTAACAATGTTCTGGGCTTGCTTCAGTAATGGCATGTCGATCATACTCCCTTGGAAAGTAAAGGCTCCCTGGAAAACAGAGAATACAAACTTCCTGAAAGAATGCTCAGAAATTATAGGCTTCCTTTCGGCGCACACTTGTACAAGAACATTTTAGATTCCATCTGAATTATACTGACTTTCCTACCCAACTTTTGAGAAAGCCAAAGTAAATTACAGGGGAAAGGTGTTTTTTTTTTTCCTTCTAAAGAGAAAAAAAAAACAACCTTTAGCATTTTAATGGAGTGGAAAAACATCAGACACAGGTATTGGAAACTTCATTTAACTCTTGAAATCACGCAGAAAACAGTTGTGGAAGGAAAATGTAAATACTTCCTTATATAAGTTTTGAAATATTGCCTAGAACTTTAAAAACAGTAATATGCTCTGGCAACTGATTATTGTTTGAAAAAATAAATGTATGATCAGGTTACCGGCAAAATGCTTCCTTCTTGCTGTAACATAATTGAGGGGTAACACTATCATGTGATGAGAAAGTGTAAGGTAGGATTGTACTGAGTAAAAAGAGATTCCTCTGTTGGTACAAACTTGCAGAAGTGGATTAGAACGACAAGGGACATAAGCCTGTAACAACAACAGAATCATTGGTCTGTTGAATGGTGAGACTGGAAGGGGTCTCTGAGATCTCCTGGTTTATCCCCATTTTACAGATTCAGTTTTTTAAACTTTCTGCAAATACTTAATGAAGGTGTCATGTGATTTAGGTCATGGTCTAGATGAGGAAATGGAGGCCCAGAGCAGTTAAGTGATTTTCGCAGGTCATGTGGCTAGGAAAAGTTAGAGCAGGGGCTAACTGGTACTTGGGTCTCAGAGCTTCAAGTTTTCATCACAGATCCCCATGTTAAGATACCAAGGGAGTTCCTTTAGTGCATCAGAGAAATTTAACGGAAAGAGGCAGCATGCCCAGAATCTGACGTGAATGTCTGTTTTTTTTTGTTCTTTCAACCACTTCTTTTTGCTTTTTGTAATCATAGCCCTTCATTTTAGTTCTCCTTCCTTGTACCTGTTGGCAAGGATGCTGGTGTGAGTGGACAGCAGGCAGTCTTTTGAGATCTTGGAGGTGGATTGGAGCGATCGTAATCCTAGCTGATGGCCTACTTGCATATATTGCCATCTATTTCTGGATTTCACAAGTACTACCTGTCAACAGTCAATGTCATTATTCAGGACATCTGGGATGGATCTCCTGGGCTCTTTGAAAACCCTTATTTCCCACAATAACATAGAGTTAGACATAAGATGGAGGTTTAAAGCAATTGGCAGGGAATCCTTAGCAATGACTTCAGAATTCCTTTTTCAATCAAGAGAGAGATTTAAAGCCACTAGGATTAGCATTTTCACTAGTACAGTCATGCGCCACAAATGATGTTTTGGTCAATGACAGGCCACATATACGATCGTGGTCCCATAAGATTATAATGGAGCTGAAAAATTCCTGTCACCTGGTGATGTCATAGCCATTGTAAGACCATAGTGCACCACATTACAATTGTCTATAGTACCCAGTACAGTAACATGCTGTATAGATTTGTAGCCCAGGAGCAACAGGTTATACCATATAGTCTAGGTGTGTAGTAGGCTATACCATCTAGGTTTGTGTAAGTGCTCTCTATGATATTTGCACGACAATGAGATGGCCTAACAATGTATTTCTCAGAAAGTATCCCTGTTCTTAAGGGACACATGACTACACTGCTTAACCTTCTCAGCCTTAGAATGATAAATCTAATTCATATGAACACTGGTGTGGCCTAAAATCTGATACTGTGAGTCATTTCCAACCCTCCTATTTTTACTACTTAGACGTCCAGATTGGCCTTTGCTTAATTTCATGTAGCCTTGAACTAATTTTGGTCCTCTCCATGACCATGGTGAATTTTATGAATTTGGTTAGAAGTTCCAAGGATGTTCCGTGGATTAGCATGACACGTGAAATTAGGGCATGGGACTCATGCTGCTTTACAAGGCAATAGTCTAGTTTCCTTATTGGAGTAAATGATGAAGACCAAAGACCTCCTGGTTATCCACCCACCAAGTGGATTATGGCCCTGTAAAACAGCACATCTGTCCTGCTAAGGCTTAAATCATAGGCTAGCGAGACGAAATTAGCATAGATGCACACAAAATCAAAACGATGCACAGAGAATTCAAATGATGGCTTTGGGTCTATGCCATGTTCCCCGAATCTGCTTTGAGTTCCACATGTACATCAAAGATGCAAAATAGTTCATGTAGCATTTCAAGCCAGAGAGATCATTTCTTTCTTTAACGGGGGCAGATTTTGCTTGACTTCCTTTATGAAGCTTAAGCTGGGAAACAAAATCCAACATTTTGGTTCTTTGTTTCCTTCATCTCTGCAAACTGAAGATTTTAGTGTTCAGAATCACACGGCTTCATGTCAATATCTTCCTGCTTTCACACATCGACCTATAACATGGTTGTTTTTTTAACATTTGGATCTGTCTGTGAAATGAGAATGGTCTGTTGGTCAGGTCTGCAGTTTGTGCAAAGCTCCTTGGATGTGTGGGGAGGGTTTGAAACATTCCTTAACAAATAGTTATAGGTAAATTTCAGTCTCACAGTTCAGTGCATTCCTGAGAAATTGGCGCACATATCATTTCAAAAAGTAAAGGGAACAAACTTTCATCAGCTTGAAGACTCAGGCTATAATTGGGTTTAAAATGCCTTTAAATAGTAACTCATTCATGGTTAAAAACCTTAACAACCACGACTACAACAATAATAATAGCTATAATTTTTGGAGCAGTTGCTGGTCCGGGGACTGTGCCTGAAACTGGACGTGCTTTATTTCATGTAATGCTCATGATAGCCCTGGGATACTGGTACTCATCCCCATTAACAACATTTCTTCTATTTCTTTTTAATTGTGGTAAAAACACATAACATAAAATCCACCATTCTAGCCATTTTTAAGTGTAAAGTTCAGTCATGTTAAATATATTCATGGTGTTGTGCAGCAGATCTCCAGAACTGTTTCATGTTGCAAAAGTGAAACTCATTAATATAATATTGTATGTTAGTTATATTTTAATAAAAATCTTTAAAAAGAGAAATAAAACAAACAAACAAAAAGTGAAAGTCGGTACCTGTTAAAAAACTACTCCCCATTTCCCCTTCCCCAGTCCTGGCAACTATCATTCTGCGAGTTTGTATTTATTCCCATTTTACAGCTGAGGAAACTGAGGCACAGAGTTTAAGAAACTTGTACAAGTCTGCCCTGTAGCTAGGAAGCAAAACATTGGGGGTAAATCCTGCCTCTATTTGATCCAAAGAGAGTGCTCCAAGCTTATCCCCTGGGCTTATCCATTGAAACGTGTTCTGAGTGGGTTCTCCGACCGCCTGAATCAGAATCATCTGAGGATTGGGGGTGCTGGTCAAAATGCAGATTCTTGGCCTGGGTCCTATATTGTTTGACATGGAAGGCCTGTGGGTTGGCTAGGAATTCTCTGATGATTCTGATGCACACTGAAGTTTGAGAAGCTCTGTTTTAGCTCCCCTGAGTAGAAAATGTTAGGCCGGCTATGATATGGGTACAACTTCATCCCCGCCCTCAAGGAGGTTCCAATTTGCTGGAGGACACAGGGAAGAAAGAAGCAGGTGCCATAAAACACAAGAAGAATGAGAGGAAACGCCAGTGTGCTAGGCACAGAGTGCTGAGAGGGTCTGAAATGGCTGCCTGTTCCAGTCAGGATTGGTTCTGCCAGTTTGCACCACTCACTTAGGTATGATGTTGTATCCCCATGGCACATCATGCATTGCCTGCTAGAGCTGCCGGGGAGCTCCTTGTGCAATGGGCTTTTATTCAACAATTACTTATTGAGTTATTTGTTGTAAAAAATGACTGGTTGATCACTTTGGCACATCTTACTATACATGTCTATGGTTTCAGGCTCCTGGAAGTGAAGGGCAATATTACCTTAGCATGGGTGTTATCTGCATAGGAAGGAAAAAAATTACTATCGGGCTGTAGTTTTTCTAACACCTCAGTCATTGCCTGGTGGTAAGATAGTCATTGAAATAACATGAGCTTTATCAGATTCTGAAGTTCTTCATGGGGGGGATCTGACTCACAATCTGACGGCAAAAGTATTGATGGTGGTGGTGGTGGTGGTGGTGACAACAGTAATCGCACCAATGGGAAATATATATTTTGCATTTCCGGCACTTGGTACTTGAGAATTGTTTTCTCTAGAGTAAAAGAGTAATTTTACGGAAACCATAAATTGATCTAACACTTTCCCTATTCACTGTATTTTCAAATAACTTCTCTGGGCATTCAGGGAGTTCTCTCTGGCAGCTTCCAATGATGGTGTTGCTGAGATTCCCTATGAGAGGGATTTTTCTGTCGGCATTAATGATAGTATTTGAGCATAGCTGTTACAGTCCTTTTCCAGGGTAACACCCTTCTCTGTGACACTAAGTCTTACGCCTAACTGATTAATTATTTACCTTACAACAATTCCCAGTGAATTCTTAAAACTTTCAGTCAGTGTTGGCCATTATCAAATTTCTCTTCAAGGTCTTGGTTGTAGCTCTACTTGCTACCATCTCTCAGGCCCAGCCATCATCTCTCGTGATATAGCGCTTCCTTCCCCACAGAGTCAACTGCCCTTGATACTCCTCAATATGGGGAAGATGATGTTCTGAGATGCACTGTTTCAGTCTTCTTTCTTTCCCATTTTTCAACTTATCACAGCTGGAGAGTACTTGGACAGGCCCTAGTATGGCCTTGGTGCTCTCACACTTTGGTTAGGACGCTCCTTTTAAGGATGTGAGGTTGGTTGCCTGCCCCCCAAAATCTCAGTGGGGAGGCTGCCCGGCTCCAAGGCTGGCTAGCACAGGCCTGAGACAGTGCTGGGACACTTACTTATGGTGCAGTTGCACCTTCCTAATTGGGATTGTCATTTTTCTAAAATATGGGATAGGATCATCCATTTGCTTAAGCCCTGCTTTGGCTCCCTTTGGATTTACAGAATCAAGTGCAATCTTCTTGGCAGGTACCCTTAGACTTCCCTGATGGGATCAGGCCCTGCCTCTGCTCTCAGCCTCGTCTCCTGCCAGTCTACCAGCGCGGGCGCACGCGCAAGCACACACAAATACCCCCTCGGCTCCTTTCCCACGTGATGTTCTCTGCTCTGAAGATTCTTTCCATCTGTCTGGCAAAGTCCTCCTCGTGCTTCAAGATACAGAAGATGTCACCTCTGTGAAGCATTTCTAGACTTCCTTGTAGGGCTAATCTCCTTCCACCCCTTACACAGCCTCCCCTTATAGCCCTCGTCACACTCGATTGTAATTATTTGTTTACACTGATGCCTTCCTCACTATGCGATGAGGCCACTGAGTGCAGGGGCCTTGTCTCACATATCTGAATCTGTTGAATCCAGTACCCAAAAACCATGGTTTGGGGTAGAGCTAGGCTCTTTGGTGTGGCCTGAGCTGGGTGACCGAGAAAAGAATGATATAGGAAGATAGAATCTTTCTCACCTTTCTCCTTTCCTTTATCTGCAAGCATCTTTCTGCACCATTTGATTTTTTCCTGGCCTGGTAATATACACATACACTGGTTAGTGGCCAACATTTGCTGAGCCTTCAGTAGGACACAGTAACTGACCCCAACAAATGCGATGCTGGGTTGGGGTCAGGTTAACTCATGCAAATGACCTGACAGTTAAAATGCAAGTATGTTACATTCGTGGTATACAAGGATGGAGGAGCCACAGAGAGAAGGGGCCATCAAAATGGGGGTGGTTTGGTCAGGGAAGGGCTTTGAAGAATAGGTACTTTTAAAGTCAGGTTTAGGTCAGAAATGTGAAATGAAGGTCAAGAGAGACAGGTGGGGGGAACTGGGAGTTGCACAGCGAGACTGAGAGAGTGGGCTTTCTCTCTGTACCTTAAGAGCCACCCGTGCCTCTGGCCACCAATGACTCAATAGATCAAGCAAAAGGATGGACCACAGCATGAGATACTGGATCTTTCTATGGATTTGTCTATGGATGAAGGGGTTTCTCTAGGGCAGCGGTTCTCAACCTGTGGGTCGCGACCCCTTTGAGAGTCGAACGACCCTATTACAGGGATCGCCTAAGACCATCGGAAAACAAAAAGATATTTACATTGCGATTCATAACAGTAGCAAAATTACACTGATAGAGTAGTAACGAAAATCATTTTATGGTTGGGGGTCACCACAACATGAGGAACTGTATTAAGGGGTCGCGGCATTAGGAAGGTTGAGAACCGCTGCTCTAGGGCATGAGGAAAGGGAGGCTAATCTAGACTAAATTAGATCAATCTGGAAGACAGACAACATTTTAAAATATTGGTTCTGCTACTCATTAGCTGCTTGACTTTCCTCATGAAAAAGTACCCAACTTAGTCTTTGCTTGATAAAGCAGGACTGGAACCCACTGAGATCCCTCTGTTCTTGCTGTCCCAGTGGGCCCCAGACTTACTCCTTCCTGTACCCCAAGGGGAGGAAGTTGAACCACCTGTTTCCTCCCCTTTATTCTGGGCACTTGCCCTCTGTCCAGGGGTGGTCCGGGGACCCAACAATGGGAAAGCTAAGAGCTGGGCCGGTCCAGCTCAGCCTTGCTTCTGAGTGGGACCATCATGGATGGACTGACCCTGCATCGTCAGATCTCAGTGCCAGGAAAGGAGGCTGGAGGTGGGTGAAGGATGTTCACTCTCCTTTGAGGAGGAAATATGAAGATTCTCTCAGCAACTGTGGTCTTACTCTAACTATAGCCTTCAGCCCTGGAATGTGTGTTTCCAAATTAAAAACTGGAAGACTGCAATCTTATTAGGAAGACCGATTATCAAAAAAAGAGGTTTCATCTGATAGTAATTTACACTTTTACAAAATATTTTTCAAAGACATTTTTTCACTTGTAATAAGGGAGACATGGCATATCTGATTTACAGATGCAAATACTGGATCAGTATTTTTTTTTAAAGGAACTTATGAGAAGGATAGGATGAGACTCTAAGGCAGCGGTTCTCAACCTTCCTAATGCCGCGACTCTTTAATACAGTTCCTCATGTTGTGGGGCCCCCAACCATAAAATTATTTTTGTTGCTACTCTATCACTGTAATTTTGCTACTGTTATGAATCATAATGTAAATATCTTTTTGTTTTCCAATGGTCTTAGGCGACCCCTGTGAAAGGGTCCGTTCGACCCCCAAAAGGGTCGTGACCCACAGGTTGAGAACCGCTGATTTAAGGCTTTTCCTCCCAAATCTCACACTCTTTGTACTAACTGATATACATACCAAAGTATGGCTGTTAACTGTGCTAACTGTGATAATTACAGAAAGAAAATGTATATATAAAAAAATAATATATATTTGTTTTATACATACTTTAAAATTTTATTTTGATGTCATTTATAAAAAATAACTAGCATATCAAAACTGTTATTTCAGAGATATTATTACTTAGGATGAGGCTGAAAAAATGATATATAGGTAAGGTACAGATAAGCAAATATGTGAAAATGCAATTTTAATAACTGAATTTGGGAACTACTGAAATATAACATGCTTCCATCACTTGTGGAAACATCCATAAGTTTCCACTTGAAAGTTCTTACTTTAATTGTTTTAATAACAGAAATACCAAAGGATATTTTCAGTGAGAAAAAAATTCAATAATAAATGTGTGAATGACATTTTAAGTCCTCAAAATCCCAAAGCATTCATAAGAAGGATTAAAAAAGGTGACATTTGATCCTTGTATATGCTTCTGAATATCAGTAACCCTTTGTTCTATGAATAAACATCTTTTAAGAGAGTAAAAGAATATCTGAAGATGGGAAATAGAGAACATGCTTTTCTTTTTAAAAACACTTTAAAGTGCAGTGATAATTTGATAGGTATTTTAATAATTTTTTCAATTAAAATTCAATAGCCATTTACTCGTATGGCCAGAGAATTTATAGACACTAATGTATCGCTGAGAAATTTCTAAAAGTTCTACTTAAGTTATTCAACACGGACAACAACTCACATCGGGCTAACCTGTCGTTACTACTAGCGCTGAAATTCTGACAGATGACATTCCATGGCCTTTGATGGGGAAGCCTTTTAAATGATTCATAAGAATGATGCAGTTGGAATATCTGAAGGGGATTAATTTTATACCCGACTGGTGAATGCAATGACAATTTGGGGCTGTTGAACTGCTTCAGAAGGTCTTTTCAGCCCTGCCTCAGAGCAGGGCCTCAGAGGGGGTGGGGAGGACCCTGCATCCTGGGCAGCCTATCGGATCTATTTTCCAAGTTCTGAAAGGTGGAGAAGCTCCCTCCTTATGCCTCTCATCCTTTCCCCTGTAGCTCTCTCTGGCTTCACAAAAGAGCACAGAACCATCAATGGAGGATGGAATGAAGGGCCCTGTATGCTCCCCAGCACAGGTCCCCCTGCCAGGTCAGTGCTGGCCTGAGAGGATCACACGTCCTAACAGCCCCTCTGTGACTTTCCACTAAACTGAAATAGGCAACTCTCCAAGATGGACACATGCTGAGGGGGTATTCAGTAGCTGATACTGGAACAAAAAGTACACAAAGACACATGGAGAAAGAGGAACTTGCTTCTCTGGGCTCTCCCATTCTGAGGTACCTTGATGCAAAGGTGAGGAATATGGGCTTTTGGGTCAACTATACCTGGATTCGGGTCCAGGCACTTCCTTTTCCTAGCTGTGTGTAATCCACAGCAATAATGGTACTTTTCCGAACCTCAGTTTCTTCATCTGTAAAATGGGGATAATACCTCCCTTGTAGAGTTATTATGAGGATTAAATAAAATAATGCATGCAGTGGCCTGTCACATACCAGGCGTTCAGTACATGGAAGCTGCAACTGCTACTACCAATGCCATTACTGTCATCTTGCAGGGCCATGTTGAGACTACTGCCACTACCATCACCAATGCTCTCACCTCTGCCTGATGGTCACCCCCATCGGCATGATCACTGCTCCCTCCTCTGCTGCTATTACCACTGCTGCTGTTGTTAGCGAGAGATGATTTCATTCCACATATCCCAGAAAGGCCCAGCATTTGAATTATAACAGGATTTTATGATTTCAGAGTAGCTTTAAGTGTTCTGAGAGACCAATGTTATTGAAGATGCAATGAGCAGAGGCCGACTCTTGCCTAAATCTTCCTGCTCCCTCTAAACTCTTAAAAGTCATAGATTGGATCCTCCTTTAAGAATCTAGAATCAGGGGTGCTATCTATTTGACACAGCATCAGTATGTGAAAACAAACATATTTAAAAGAATTTAAAAGCTTAAGAATATTAGCTGGAGGAGGTAATCATCAAATGCAGGTGACCTGAAACTAGGAGCAGCGCGTGTGCTGGGGGAAGCGGTGACAGGAAGGACCGAGCTTTCAGCAGAGGGTGAGCAGGATGAGGAGGTGGACTAGCAAAGACAAAAGGCCTGATGGGTTTGAAAAGCGGGGAATTCCTTGGAATGTGAATATTGTAGATGTAAAATGAATAGACATCATTAACATATTGCTTTTTAAAAGGGATCTATTTAGCTTTAGCTCTATGTAGAAAATAGAAACAGTGCTGTAAGATTAATTTGGGACTTTACCAACAGTTTTAGAAAGCTGGAGGAGGGAAAAAAGAAGAGGTAGAAGGTTTGGAAAATGAGTTTGGCAGGGAAGGTGGAGGTGGCTGGACAGTAGGGAGGGGAGCTCAGGTGAATGTTTGGGTCAATTATCTTAATATGTGACCAGCCCAGAGTCACCTACTACCCAGATGGAGGGTCTCAGTGGACCAGAGCCGTCCTTACTTCACAAATGGATGGGGGAGACCAAAGTTGCCTTCTGTTTTTAAAATTCTTCTCAGAGCTCACCAAATGTAGGCCGCAAGATTTATCTTTAAATATTTGCAGGCAGAATGATCAGACAGAAGTAGACAAGTCTGTTTTAAATATCTTTTGATAAGGAAATCTGGGAAAATCAAGTCAAATATACCACGTGGAAAGCTACCTACCGACGTGAAATAATTGAATGTATAAGCACATTGCAAAATCTAAGGGAGTTTCCACATCTGCTAGCAAGTAAGGTGCTGTGCTTAATTTTCTCAGTTTTATAGCTTTGTTGAGGTATAGTTTGCATACCATGAAATCCACCCATTGTTAAGTGTATAATTCACTGAGTTTTAGTAATTATCAAAAGTTCTGCAACTATCACCTCACTCACAGGGTTTTTTTCTTTCTTTTTTTTTTCAAACTAGAAATCTTGTTTAAAAATATTTTTATTTTTAACACTGAGATAAATGTGTAAATATTTTTATTTAATTTAGAATATTTTATGTCACATTCAAGCTGGTATTGCCTATGAGAAAAGCAAGAATGAAGAATATTATAGCAGCTTGCAGCTAAAACCAATAATGTTAAGCTTTTATTTTATACACTTTTATACACTGCAGGCTTATTCTTTCTTTGGAAAACACATCTCAATGAACAAACACTAACTGGCAGACACTTTGAACTTTATAGTATTTACTAATATACAACTAACTGATAATAATAACATG